CTCCAGAACCCCAGGCTCCATGACGTCCTGTGTCCCCTGCTCTCATCACACTGGTCCCATGAAGCTGAAAACACCCCACGGCTCAGCCACCCCTAGACTTGAGTTCTCTCTCCTGGACCCACTCTAGACCATACGGTGCATCCGTGGGGAGTGGGAATAGGCACCTCTCGCTCTGAGTGGACACAGTCCCACGCCTGTGTGTAGAGCTGGACAAGAGTAGCCTATACTGGATCTCTGTTCCTACTTGTCCCCTCAGCCATGCAACCTTGGCAGTGAACAACCTCCATGACCAATGTGGTCGCCCCGAATTCGTTTACCTTTCCAAGAAGAGCTGAGATTTCTCCTGCCTTCCCCCCAACCCCCCACCAGGAGCCTCAGTGATCCCTGCAACAAGCCTGGGCAATCAGGGAAACGGAGGCATGAAGAGGTACAGTGACTTGTTGAGTGCCTAGCTGGTCGTGGCCTGGAGCTGGGTGGTTTTCCGAGTTCCCTTCTGACTTAGGGCTGCGTGGGCTGTGGAGTCAGTTCCCAGAGAGCCTTTCCGGATGCTAGTGTTTCCCAACGAAGCGCCTGACCACTGGGAATGAGGGAAAGCCACTGCTGAGTTGGCACTTTCCCAAAGCCCTGCTCTGTGTGACCGTCCTGCAAACGGAGGGGAGGGCTTGCTTCCTGCCACAGCTGCTCCCCATGTCCCTGCTGAGCATGAGACAGCCAGCCCTGGAGCCCAGCCAGCTGTGAGTCCAGCAACCTCACCAGCAAATGTGTGCCAGGCCCTCTGGACGGACGCGGCCTACGGGCAGCTGGGTAGGCGTGCAGGCTAGTCTGTGTGTGTTTGGGGGGGATGTCCACACTGTACCCAGTGTACCTGCACCTCCCCTCACTGCCCTCCTCCCTCCCAGGCTACTGCTCCTCTCCACCCACCGCACCTGCAGGCTTGTCCTGTCCCTGCAGCAACTTGCTCATAACAAATGCCAACTCGATACTCTACATTAAGGGCCTGGCATCTACAGCGCCAGTTTAGACTCCAGGATGGGCAACACCTTGGGCCCACCTGTTGAGGGGGCCGTGGGGCTGGGGGAGCAACAGGGCCAGGGCCGCCCCCAACTCTCTGCGGGAACCGTGGGCAGCTTCTCCCAGCCCCGCTGGCCCAGCCCCAGCCTGGGATAGGGAAGGAGAGGACAAACACCATGCCCGCATCCTGGCCTGTGGCCCTGTCATCCTTGGACACATACATGGCTCTGGACTCCGACTCCTCGCCTGAGGCAGTGGAGGAGCTGTTTGCAGCCTGGGCCCCTCGGTCGGCCGGCCACCTGAGGCCAGGCCTCCAGGAGTGGGGATCTGCCAGGCAAGGCTTAGCCGACTTTGGTTTTCGCCAAACAGCTGGCTTGGATGCTGCACAGGGCAGGTAAGAGAGCTCCAGACTGGAGGCCAGCCAGCCCCAAGTTCAAACTTCGCTTTGGCCTCTCACCTGCTGTGTGACCTTGGCCAAGTCCCTCTACCTCTTTGGGTCTTGATGTCCTCATCCGTAAATATCTCCCTCGGGCTGTTGTGAGGCTTAAGTAGAATTATGCAGGGGAATCGGGAACAGCCAGGCACCCCAGGGCTTCGCACAGCTCAATGGGTGAGGCCCCTTCCATTTGTCCCGTCCCACCTCCCTGGGAACAGAGGCTTCCAGATGGCAGGACTCCGGGTAGCCCTCTTGCTCTCTGAGGTCTCACTGGGGCATGGACTGGCCTCTTGTAAGGAGAGGGGGCAGTGGAGGTGAGAAGGTGAGAGATGGTTCTGGGAACGAGTCACAGATGGGGGTGATGGGGACCAAGGATGGTGGGGACACAGCAGATGACCAGGCTGAGGGGCAGACGGGCGCCAGCACCCTGCAGGCCGAGGGCGGCTGAGAGTAGCCCCCAGGACAGTGCAGTTTCTCTCAGAGGACAGGGCCCTCGATGGCAGGAGGGGGCCTTCTGAATCCCACCTGGGAACGAGCTCCCCAGCCCCTTCACAAAAGGGGATGCCGTTTACAAAAGGGCTTTTATTAAACTCTCCCCACAGTGCCTCCTGCCGCAGGGGCTGCAGCCCCAGGCAGGTCCGCAGGGGAAGGGCAGAGGCGTAGTGAGGGGG